CAACGCGGTGCGTCCACGGAGGAACTGTTATCCTCGGTCAGTCCCACCGATGACCTCCTTTCGCCTGTTGGCTGTGACATGGACAGCGGCTTCAGTGGAAGCTCCAGTGCAAGTTACAGGTTGATAGAGACACACAACACACTCCACACTGTAGTTTTGTGTACCTTATGTGGCTGGAAGAATTCGTGGAACTTTGGTGTATGAATTTTTCAACGATTTTTATTTCAATATGATCCCTTTTCTGGTTTGTGTCTTTGCAAGAGGAGCAGATAAAGGATTGCGTGGTGATGAAGATTGGTAGGTAATTAGGGAAAAAGAGATTTCCTTTGAGGAACTGTTGGTTACCTTTGTAGACACTGAATGATGTATGAAATCTACACAGTGATGAAGATAGTGATTGTGTATATTTGTGCATAGGAATGTAATTGTTAAGACACTTTTAATTGAAATGATTAAAGAAGAAACAGAAATAGTTAAGTAAAATATAAAAGTAATTAAATGTAACAGAATATTATATTAGGAAATAATTGAAACACTTCTTATAGGTTTCTTTATTCTGTCTTTTTTTTTATAGACAAATTCCTTCTGAAGCATTCAGTGTCCACAAAGATGACCAAACATGAATCTTGTACATAACAATTGTTCTTTAAATATTTCTACACCTTTTCCATTTACCTCCATATACTGTACTAACAAAACCTGCTGTAAATTAACTGTGCAATAATTCCATCACGTGGACTGCACCCATTAAACAGAGAAAACCACTAGCTAGTAAAAAAGAAAAAAAAAGGAAGAAAGGTTCCACGAACTCTTTGTCCACACCTCGTACATCTCCACTTCTAAGTAACCCTAAAACCAATGAACCTAAATAGAGAAGAAACTCCAACCACAGCAAAAAATCTAGAAGCGACCTAAGATTCTCGATTATTGTTTGCTCAGGTCTGGACTTGGATCGTTGAGGAGGGGAATGGGCAAGACGAGTACACCAGAATTAGCGGGCGGGCAACGTAAAACGAAGGCGGCTATGATCTGGAAAAAGGGTTGGAAAGGCTGGAAGAAACTGCATTCTTTTGGGAACAATAGCAACAAGAATGGTGAGTCACTCGTACCATTTGCTGTTCACCTTTATATACCGTGCAATTGCTGACTGTACACTCGACTAAAAATCTCGCGAAACACTGTTACAACTCGCATAAACGCCCCGTAATTTTTTCAGGCACATTTCTAAGAGTTGAACAAATTTTTTCCATCGTTTCTTTTTTAAACGTAACCGAGAATAATCACAGGTGTTTGAGACAGATTTAGTAGACGATAATAACTCAAAGCTAGGTCAATTTTCGTTTTTTTTTCTTTTCTTTTCTCCGTCAGCTATCTCGAGGATAATAAATTCACGGTGCAACGAAAGTGCAAGCTGGTCAAGCTTCGGTCACGAACTGTTCATACTCGTGGCTGTGTTAAAAATTCTCGTTGCGCGAACCTCGGTAATCGTGCTGCGAATACGAAGTCAAAGAGAGAAAGAGAGAGAGAGAGAAACAAGTAGAGGTGTAAGGTGCGTGAGAAAGGGAGAGAGAGAGAGAGAGAGAGAGAGAGAGAGAGAGAGAGAGAGAGAGAGAGAGAGAGGTCCAGAAGTGCCGCTCCTTTTCTGCAAGTGTTTCGAGAAACACTCGAGGGGATTAGCACCTCCGGTCGTGTGTGACCGTAGAGAAATATTTAGAATGTTTAGAAATATTAGTCGCATGAAACGTTCTGTTCTTCGTTTCATTTTTATTTTCCTCTCACGTTTCTTAAACGTTCGAAAAGTTCTGTAAGAAAATAAGGATACAATTCTGTGTCGAACAAGACGCGTAACCTAACCTACCTCAATAGTGTAGAATGTGTTCCGTAACCGGTGGTATTATTCTATATTTTTAGTTTCTTTTCTTCCATGTATAATAGAATCATCACGGTTGTGTACCATGAATTGTGAAATACCCTGTATATTTCTAAAACTGTAGCGTATATCGAAGCCTACTAAATTCACCCACCAACCGTAACCTCTCCCGAAAAGATCGTAAAAGTTACGTAGTGCATTTAGAACCCCCTAGGGACAATAAAGTAATTTGCTCGAGGGGCGAGCAGCTAATTATTTTGAACGCGCTATATACCGCAAAACATTGCCGCAATCTTGATCAATCTCTGCAGCGAACACGACAACGGTGTTCTAAAGAAAAAGAGAGAACGAGACAGAGAGAAGCATCGAGCACCTTTTGTGCGTCCGTTTCACGGCCCTTTGTCGCGCATAACTGCACAAGTATGTGCAGGCCTTTCTTTCATGGGAACGCTGCCCTCTCCGTGCTATGACGCAAGCGTTTGGCCCCGTGCACGCTCGTGTGCATTTGGCGCACGAACCGAGTTAATTATTGGTACTTGGAAAGGGTCAGCCGCGGGGTCACTCGGTGGAGAAGCAGATGCGAGGCACCACGTGCACTCCCTGCTCTTTCTTTCTTTCTCTCTCCTTCCCTCTCCATCTCGGGAGTAATCGCATAGCTTCGTTTTTCTCCGCTTTGCATCGTCTCCGCCTCTTGCTCGACTGTTGCGCCTTGCATCTCTGTTAATCTTTTTCTTCGTTTTTTCCCATTTCTTCGAGGGGAATCGAATTTTAGTGGAGTGGAGGGAGGTATTAGAGAAATTTAATTTTGGATAGAAGTGTTGGAATTGTAGGAAAAAGTTTGTGTAAGTTCTTTTTCCTTGGTTTCGTCAAGTGGAACTGAAATTTATTGGAGGTTAGAAGTTTAAAAGATTTTGTTATTCTGAGTAGAATGACTGTTTATGTGCATTGAGTGTAAGAGTGAATATCGTATGTTTCTTACAGAACGTTTGACTGTAAAATACAAATATAAATTCTGTAATAGTTTGATTTACAATTCTAGTATATTGAAATCGAGAGTACAGGCACATGGTCAGTTACAGAAAAGCGACAATTGTGCCAAATTCTCGACACTTATTTCACCCAGAACAATGACTCAAACAACACCTTTACTCACCTAACCTACTAACCATCGTGAGTCACTCATAACTCACACCCAAGCGTAAAATAATGGACTACGTGCTTAAACTTGAAAAACAACAAAGAAAATAGCAGTACGTTTGAAAAGAGCCATCTGTTAGAATTCCATTTAACGCTTTCAATGAATTCGTTCGTTGAGAGCCATATTTTACATGATGTCGGATTCCGTCGATAGCCAAGAGAGAAATCGTAAACGAAGAATCGTGCTTATGGGTGCAGATGTTCGGGAAAAGAGCAATCTCTCTTAACCACTTTTGGCCATATGGTTTCCGGGATATCCCATGGTGATTTTCAAACGGCCCAGGCCTACCCTAATTTTTAGACAGAACCTCGAGGTCACTCCTGTGGCGTCTGAAACAATAAGTAGCCTTGTGGTGACCACCGGATGATACGAGCTTTCTCGGAATTTCAAGGTGAAGTCGACGAACTCCGTAATCGCGAAGACACGTTATGGATTTGGTTCTAGGAACTGTAATTCGACTAATTTTCTCTGGAGCAATCGTATACAGGATGACTAAAAAAAAATTGGTCAATGAATTCTCATTGAGGTAAATGATATTTATAACCGACGATCTTCTCTGCGGATGTCCAATCTTTATTACACATTGTTCATTATCTTATAACGATATACAGGGTGACTCAAAAGAAATGGTCCAGTATTTTTCTCTAAGATAAACAACATTTGTAACCATAATTCTAATAACCTTCTCTGAGGAAATCGAATCTCTGTTACACAGTTAATTATCATTTTGTGATTATATATAGAGTGGTTCACAAAAACAGTTATCGACGAATTCCAGTATTTTCGAATAAAATAAAAATTAGATTTTCATCTCGGGTCGATTAAAGGCGCAACTATTAAATGTTATAGAAAAAAAAACAAATTTATTGAAATCACGATTAGAGTTAGACGAAACGTCGAGTCTCAGGTACCATTGTGAATGGAAGACATTTCACGGCGGTCATGCTCGAACACGCGCGCGGCAAAACATGCGAGATCGCCGGGCGAAAGAAACAAGCTTCCTTAAGTGCAACAATCTATCCGTTCCGCAATAGCAATCGCAGTTGTGTTACAGAAAGGGATATGGGGGAGGAGGAGAAGGTGGTGATAGAGGGGGGAGGCTTCTCGCTAGATGGAAGGTATGCCCGAGAGAAGCCATCGAAAGAAGGCGAAACGCGTTAAGAACGAAGAGAAAGGCGCCGGACGAGGCGCTCGGTTCTGTTACCCTGATACTTTATTGGTATTCGTTTCGACAGCGTGTAATATTCACATCGTAATCGATCTCTAACCTCGATACACCTCGTGCTCCTCACGCAGCCGCGCTACGATCGCTCGATTTCGTTGTTTTTACCACTACTTTAATGCAATCACCGTCGAATTGCGGTCGGAATAATGGTAATTCGAGTGTTTCACGGCTGAAATCGGATTTTTTCGTGGTATATGACAACTCTGTTTGTCGTTATGGAATACTTTTCGGCAAATTTGGTAAAATTGCACCACTTTTTTTCTTTTTTTCTTTTCTTTTCTTGGTTAATTTAAAAAATCTTTTTTTTTTATTCCTTCTAATGACATTCTTCTAACAAGTGTTTTCCATACAAATTATCTTTGGTGATATAATTTATATTGATACAAAATTTGAATATCTAATTGATTTACCAATTCGGAAATGAAGGTGTAAAGTAATTCTTGTTCCACAATATTCACACATCCGCTAAATCACTAAAATATTACAAATCAATCCTTTCTTACTTTCATTCATCAACAGCCACACGTTCGATTCATACGCCTACTTCCTACAATTACAAGCTATTTCTAATAAAAGGAATAAAATATCGTACGTATACACATCGCAAAATTGCTGCGTTAATCAATCGATTGAGTAATAAGTGTACATTTGATCTTCCAATATTGTAACGATCTATATACATGTACAATTTCTCTTTATCAACAATGTCACAGCTTATTAGCAATGCTCTCCACGGCTTGCATCAGCCTCACCATGATCGATCTGTTTTCCTCGTCTCGTCTCTTGATATATTCGAAGATCTGCTCGATACGACGATCGGTCCGTGACTCGCGATCCCCACGATACGGTGCAAGTCGTCCTCTTCGCGACTTTCTCGGCCTATCCTCTTCATCCTCGTTACACGACGTTCGCTCTTTTTCCACGCTCGCCACGACGTCGTTTCCATGGACCTGGGACTTGTCCCTAGAGCAGTCCACCTGTGACGTCACTTTCTCGATCGTCAACTCCGTGGTGCGCGGTAATCGCGGTATCGCGACGATCCTTTTCCTCTTCCCGCCATTTTTGCTCTTCTGTCTGAAAATTTACTTAGGCATTACGATCTCTGTGATTTTATTCGACCTTCGAAAAGTGATTCGCTGAGAAGTTCTGTGATCTCAAATTTTTGTCTTTGTTTTTTCTATTCGTGAAAATGTGCAGCTAGTTTTTAAGGTTATGGTTGTGCTCTTTTCCCTGGTCGGTTTATAATTCTGATGGGTAATTTTGGAAGATATTTTGTTTTTCTAAGGATAACGTAGATAACTATTTTAGCAATGATAATTTTGAACACGAGAATTTTCTTATTAAGGATATCACATTTTTAAGGACAAAATATATCGTGTCTAATATTTGAAATTATCACTGTCCAAGTTAATTTATACTATATACGCTACCATACCTGATACTACCAGAAGATCGTAATTTCTCGATTTCTATGGAGCAATCGACGCCAAAAGCTCGTAACCTTGGTTCAGAGAATGAGTCGTTGGTCCGACGCTCGGTTTCCGGGTTGGATACGGCCGGAAGCGCGTCCGCGGATGAGGTGGGCTCTTCCGGTGTCACGGAGACGCAGAGGAATTCGTGGGGATCGATGTATTCGTCATTGGACACCGTGGTGTCTCTGTCGTAACCGAGGATTTCGTCGATCGCGTTGTAAAACGGCCAAGAGACGTCGTCCGCATTGTTTCTGTCGCCGTGTACCGGGTTTCTCAGTTCCTTCAACAGATCACTGTGGCAGATGCATAGTAACAGCGTGACGGCTAAGCAGAGAAACACTCGTGCACAAGGTCTAGCTGTGTATGTGTGTTGTATACAGTTTTTTTCAAACCCCGTGGGATCTTTCGATAGCTTGTAAAACCAGGAAGTGTTCAGAGAGTTTTTTTTTTAATAACATACAGAGTAATGTAATCGTACTGGATGGGTACAGCTGCGTGAAATCAGTTAACTGATCACGGTCGTTGTTCGTCGGTATGATTGAGAGTGACATCTGACGTTTGTTTACGGAAACATTTGGAAACAGAATGTCCAAATTCGGAATAGTACCGCGTGTTTATATTGGCCATGTAGAATTTGTAAGCAGTGTATCAATTGTATGTAGGATAATTTAGTCATATGTGATTAAGAAAATCACAAAGGAACAAATCGATATGACAGAGGATTATTTCTTAATGACTTCGAATATACTTCGAGTCTATGAAAATACCTTTGACACCTAATATAACCTTAAAATATTATAAGGATTAATTAGTTAGTATTTTCTCTTGCTTATTCTCGTTCTATACGAAAGAATATTATACATTTCGTATTTCATCGGAAAAACCGAAAGAGCTACGTAAAAGTTGAAGGCAAAAAACTCGTCTAAAATTAGTTACGATGTCACTGAATCTCCTCGTTTCCCTGAACGATCTCGTAAAAGCGAAAAATCATTGCGTCAAATTCATGAATTCGCAACGGTTTAACACGATGTCATCGTGAAACGGTCGTTTCCGAGCATCTGTGGCGCTTATCTAACCGAGCAGGGAAATCAAGTTCAGTGTGCTTCACGCCGGTTGCGAACGCAGCGAGGATAAAGCAAACTGGCGCATGCGCAGTGATCAACGAGCGATGGCGGTTAATCGTAGGGCAATAAATGGCGTCTGGTGTCTTGTCTCACTTTGTACTGCTGTAACAGGTTCGACCATTTCTTCTTCAACACCCTGTAGTGCACATTCGTCATTATGCTGGGAAATTCTTCGCGCATCTGTTGTAAAATGTACCTAAAAATTGATAGAGAAAGAAAAATGATCAGAGGAGTGATAGATTTTAGATAAAAGATGACAATGAAACGCGTTCAGCTCGCTTTGTGTTGTTGCGTATCTTTGCGATTCCAGCTTCCAAGAAACGAACAGTGAGGACACTATTCGCAATACGGAATAAAATCAGCCTATTGTTTTGCTCTTATCGAAACGCGTACGCATTTCACGTGATAACAGAACGGCTTAAGACGAATGCTTGACAAATAGCTAACGACAAGATCGTTTCATAGGATAATGTGCAATATTGCTGCCCGTTTCCGTTTCCGTTCTTGTCACATGTTGCATACAAAGTGTCACTTTGATACTTCCGTTCAGCAAGAAGTGTATATATATGTATGTGTAATGTACCTTATGTATTTTGATAGACTAAATAGGCTGATGTATCAGGCAATTCAGTTATCTGATTATGATATAGTAAGGTGTTAGTATACCGTGATATTCCTTAACAATTTCCTTAACAACTTGTCAAATTGAAATTATAGTGTTTTAACTTTTTTACACATGACACATTTAACATTTAATTAAGTAAATGAGATGTTCTCAGCATCCTAGTTGCGTTATTAATGAATAAAATAATATATTAAGAATAAATTTTCAAAATTTTACACTGATCATTCATATGTATATCATGAATGAACGAGAATTAACGATCAAAGAAATTGCTGTGGTAGGTAATTTGTGATCTACCGATTAAGCCAAATGACACACGAATCTCGTTTTTCTTCCAATTTTCGTCATGACTGTTAATAATCCGGATATTTCGGCGTTTCATGTTATTTTAGTCGATGCTCGGATCCGTTTTTGGCATAGTCTCCGTTTTTCAGTTTCCTCAACTAACGTCACTTTTCTCACGACGAACGGTCATCTCTCAACGTTTCACCGCTTGAATCCCAAATAAGGAACTTGGGAGAAACAAAGTAACTTAAAAAAAAAATACGTGACTGACGGTGGAACAAGCCACAGGCGATTGCGTTTCGACGTGTGAAAAATCATCCGCCCCGTATCTCCTCGCTCGAGGTCGACCGGCACGGGAATGTCGCGGTTGATAAATGATGCAAACGAGACTCTTTTTGTTGGTATTTTTATAGCCGCGTGCAGAAGACGCGTTTCAGCGTTTCTTTGACTCCGCTGGTATTCCATGAGGCTCGTGCGCGCGCAGCCTATTCGTGCTGTCAGCGAACAGTTTCGTCATTTGACAAGAACGAAAAGTGCAAATTGGTGTAACAAGTGTCGGTTGCAATGTGATCGAAAAACGATTGGACGATTGCAGTGACCAAGTATGATTTATGCTTATGCTAGAGTGAAATGTACAGTTGTGTGACTTACAGTAGTAACAAAAAAGAATTGTTTACAATAGAACTTTTTTTAATAAGCGTGCATTTTAGGTGTAAATTTTTTTAGTAATACTATGCATTTAAAAAATTCGACTTAACCTATTTTCGTAATTATCAAATTAACAGAATAAAAAAATTGTAAAGTTTGCTTTACTTGAAAATTTTAAAGCATCTTAATTTTCGTTAAAAAAGAAAGGAACATTTTAATTTTGACAAAGAAATTTCTGTCTATCAAAAAATGTGTAAAACTTTTCCAACGAAAATACCATAAAAGCCTCCCACGGCGGTCGTGGAAGAAAAGAAAGAAAGAAAATGAGCTCGGTCTACGTGACCCGTATTATACTTACTCCCATCCAGCTTGGGCAGAATATTTGCGGCCAGTAAAGAGCTTTCCATTTTCTTTACGAAGCTGAATGAACCGGCAGGTGAGATTTTCGGTCCCTGTGGACATTCGCAAAACAGGAGAGGAAACTCCATGACTACCTGCGTGACTCGCGATTATCACCCGTAACCATGGTAACGATTCCCTATTAGACTTTTATTATATTGCCTAAGGAATGTCGTGTCTCGAGGCACGGAGTAAACGTATACCGTTCACCCCACCGTACAGTATGAAAAAAAAAATGAAAGGAATGGTGAAAGAAACGAGATAATGGGACGAATAACAATTCGAACGTGCGTGATTTAATACCGCGGGAACGCGTGGATAGGCGCGCGCGCGCATTCCATTACGCGTTTCTTCGAGTCGGTCGTGTGCATCGAGATAGCTCCGTTGGTGATTATGAAAACGAAACTAATCATTTGGTTACGTAGCCAACGAAACGTCGTGGTATGAATAATCGCCTTGTTATATGTTATAGGCTGTATTAAATAAGGAAATTTTAAAAGTAAAAAGAAAACGAAAAAAGAATGAAAAAGAATTCAGTAGTAGAACGATAACAAGGAGAGAGAAACACTCGTTGCGCGCGCAGCCGTGTGAAGCCGCGTCAATCTTCGGCGCACGCAGTCAATCTACGCACACGCTGTATATTGTAAATTATAGTAGACAATGAATAATCGTAAGAATTCGATAATTTATTTTGTAAATAGTAATTTGAATGAAACGAAAGGGAAGATAACAATGTTGAGAATAACGTGGAAAGCATCGGAAACACGGCTGCGAGTCGCACTTGCGTATCACGATTAATATACGTAGAAAAATATATCACCTATGGCTGGTATGTATACGCGGACGAATGAGAGCGGGAAGGATGGATGGAACACTTCGATAAAATGAAACATTTCTTTTTCGCGTTCATGGCGCGCACACGATATTGGCTGTGACGATAAACGATACGTCATTCAAGGGACGAGAAAAAAAGAAAGAATTGTATCACGTGGCTTGTTAAAAGATACCGAACAAACATTTATCGTACGAGCCAGAACTCACATCGAAATTTCGTGTGTTGAGAAGCCTGTGCCATGTTGACCACCGTTCGATAAAAATTTATAGAGAATGTGATCGTGAAAACTTCTCCTAGTCAGAGATTCTGATGCGTACTAAAATTTAGACCTGGTTTCAGTCCTCACCGGGGAACATTAGGGGGGTGTGTACGTGGAGCACCCAACCACTACCGCCGTGTTGGAAGCTGCAAACATAGATTTGGTGGGGACATGCGATACTTAAATGGCATATACGCGAGTGTCTGTCCGTGGACAAGGCGGTATAACCGGCTGCTCTTTGGATGCATGCCAAGCCAGAAAGGAAAACAAACCGCGTCGCCATCTCCCATTAGAGCTATACAACAGCTCTTTTTCCTCTTGCTCAGCCAACCGTACTCCACGCTTCTGATTCACTGTGTTATCGACCACGAAGTTTTCTTAGCTAGCTACATCGATCCTTTGATCGATTATTGAGGAAAATACGGTTTTATGAACAGGTTGTAGCCATGACAGTACTTTTGTTCTCGCAAGGTAATGTATTGAAAGGAATAGGGATTTTTAATGGTGTTCCAAATTTGGACCGAAATTGAGACGCTTCCGTTTCTTTTTGGAGTAAAAGGATTTAATTTAATCAAAGGTTAAAGCATCACGGAATGATAGCTATCAGGTACAGTGTTGCCAAGATCGAAGTTAAAGAAAATTTCCATAAATACAATTAACTTGTAGCCTTGGCCATCTGCCCTGTTGGCAGCACCATTCATGCGGCATATTTTGATCTTGCCAGAAATTTGTATTCCTGTTGGATGATTTACCGCGAATGTTTCACAATGCGATATGGTTTTTTATGTTAATATGAACTATCGTGTATCAACATTAAACAATATTTCGAGAATACGATGGTATTTTTCAAAGAGAAGGTAGTTTTATTTTTTGTAATTCTAGTGCGTACGTAAACATGTTTCGTCCATGTAATGAACGTGTGGACTTCCGAACGCATCATATTTCACTGACACGATGACTGTTTGTGTGTCAACATATTGCTTACACTGATCTTCTTTGTATTACAAATAATGTATATTTTTACTGTATTAGTTGCGTTGTCTCATTTATTAAGAAGCATTATTATTTACAAATTCACTTTCAATTTTAAAACAACGTGCATTGTCTCATAAATATAACATACTACTTATTATGCAGCTAAGATTTCTAGTTGCATGCACAAGTTGAACGAGCACTAACTTTTTGACACGAGATTGACGTGTTTAGTCTCGTGAAAATATCTAGAACCGAGGTCGATAAATCCGATAACGTCAGTACGCGTACACACAGTCGAAGATACGCTGATACATAATTGCGTTAGAAGTTTGGCACTTTAAAAACAAGCAATTCGATAGTAAAAGACTTCAGATGTTTATTCTTTTTTCCTACAGTTAAAAATAAATAATCTTTAAATGTTTTCCATCGCTACAGCACACTCCGCTCCGTTCACACGGTTCAGAATATTCCCAGAATTTTCCATCGTACTACCTAGTTGAGTACAAAAAGCTGGGTATACATTTTCAACAACGAGAATCCTTGAGGTCCAGCTGTCCCATGCTTTTACCGGTGAACAATAGCCCAGGTCAGAAGTCCGTGCTTTTGCCCAGGTTATCCAGAAACATAAGTTCTTAGCGATCAAGAAACGAGCATTCAAGGTGGCGCCGCTCAGCGGCCATTCTGACAAACTAGCACAAAACGATGTGGCGATCTCTGTTTCCCTTTCTCTATGTCTATCATGCCATCTCCGTCTTTCTCTCGTTCTTCTCTTTCTCTCTTCTTCCGTTCAGCTTGTACAGAATGGCCTACTCTTTCATTCCACCTCTCTCTCCAACTCTTTTCCATCCTTATCCATCCGCAGTCGGCTTGTCTGTCTCTCTCTTTCCCGCTTCCTTTCCACACAGCCTTATCTACTCTTTCACTCTCTCTAACTTTCTCTCCCGTTCGCAAGTTACAGCACCTTCTGTTCCATTCTCTCTCTTGCGGCGCGTCTCTTTCAGGCAGGCTGCCCCAACCTCGATCCCTCTCCCTGTCTCTCTCGCTCTCTCTATCTCTCCTCCGTGCCCTTCGTTTCCATGCAACCTCCCTCAGTGCGTGACGGCTCCGCGGGCCAGCGGAGAGCCAGAGAGGCGCGCGCGCGCGGCCATGTTTACTCGGTTTCGGTGGCGTTTCTTTGTCGGACACAGCGACGCATTCTTATCGGTGCACGCCGCGATATTAATTATGCCTGCGGCCAGCCGCGTGAGCACGTGTGCGACGTGATTTTTAGACTGACCGTGTTCCCCCGTGTCGAGAGAAGTGTCGTTTGTTCATTCTGCGAAACCCCGCGACTCTCCGTGTGTTGGGTGAACGCGAGATCGTGTGCGCCGCGTATGTTGGTCTCCAGCTCTCTCGGATCGCTGAGCACGTTGCACGGAAAGAAACGACCAGCAGCCGGTGCTCGAGATAACGAACGGTGCCGTTTTAACCTGGAGTACGTAACGCGACGAAGATCGCTCGCCTCCGCGAGATGGAGGAGCCGCATAACGGTGTCATCCTGATCAAGTGTAAGTTTCGTTTTAGTGGTGTTCTTGTCAAATGTTCTTTTGGCGTAGTGTACGATGATTTTACGTCGTCACATGTATACTCGGCGACGGCGTTCAACCAGAAACAGAACGTTCACCCCTCTGTCAGGGGCGTATCGAAATTCCTGAGCCGTTGTCTCGCTGAAGTGCGACGCGTTACCTAGTATCGATAACATACAATATTGAAACTACTTCGGGAAGATTAAATAGGATGTTTTTTTAAATGAAAAAGTGGAAGTTAAGGTTGGAATGTTTTTGTATAGATGATCTTTTTGGTTACATAGTGTGTTCAATCGCAGTGGCTCGAACGAAGTTTAATGCGATTCTGTTGCGACACGGTCGATCATTGTTCCGGTAATTGCTATCGGCACGGTTGCCTGGAAACGACGAAACGCTCGTATCGTACAGCGTCAGCTTCAGGACAGTGCCCGTTCCGCGTTCTTGGTGCATCGTCCATATGTCTTTCATTTACTGTTGGATACTCTTGCGAATCCTTTTACGTTTTTGATTATTTAATCCTGGTTAGATGTTTGCCAGCGACATAATTCCGGTTATGAATCATGTTGAAATTCTCGACCAAGCATTTCGCGGTAACGTACCGGTAAAAGTGACCGTAAAATTACTAATAACCTATAAATAACTCTGTGGTTCGCGGTGTCACCGCGTCCAAACGAATAGATCTCGATTTATCTTCGTGTCTAACCATCTTCGTTAACGGTTTCAACATATTTCCGAGTAAATTTTATTCTGCGCACATGAAACATCTGATATGCATATTTATAGTTCGTGAACTCTGATAGAAAATGGGTTTTTTTGCAATTTTATTTTCTTTCGACCGGCTGGTGCCGTAAATCCGGCAAACGTTAACCATTATGTCGTAAAACAATAACACACATAAATGGAATAGTCTCATGTTACGAGTAGGTTATATCAAAAAATAAATCGTATGTTTTTGCCACGGAATTAAGGCGCCTTTGCCATAATCGATACACTTCGATCGCGGAAGCTCCATGATAGTGGTGCACAGGCGACACCTGTGAAATATCGATTTAAAATTTTAATTGGTCTCAATTCGAGATTGGGACGCTTGGGTAACCCATTTGGGGACACCTCTTCTGATCGGTTGGTTAATATGGTAATTTATGCCTGGTGATGTATGGCCTTCTAAACCGGCCGTCGAGCGAGTATCGAATGTCTACTAGATCATAGGACCTGTTATTCGCGCGTGGGCGTGCTTTCTCTTATAAAAGTACAGATTGAAATGTCATACCGGTCGTCGGTATTTCGCCGGTTATTAAAAATGTACCCTTGTAGTCCGTTCGCCATTATCATTGTAACGCACGTAGATGAACCGGTTGAGATAGTGAAAGGAAACAAATAGGTACTAATTTGTACCCTTTCGAAACAACACGGATAATTGTACGCCGAATAACGTTCGATTGAATATTCATAGGCACGAACGAGGAAAAACGTCGTGTCTTTCGTTTCGCTTTGTACCAGGGGATCATGCGCGCGCGTCGTCATGTTCGTGAAGCTGCTCATCTGACCACGTGGTTCTTTTCTTGTACCTCTTTCGCGTTTGTTACTCGCGGTAAACGTTACAACGCTGCCTTCGCTGATCCAAGAAGAGATTTATTACGTAAGCGATGCTTCGTTTTTCGCACGAACAAATGATATCTAGGCAGCTCGTTTTTCTCTGTCACATAGTTTCAGTGCATGAACTATCGAATATACATAATGTATAGCGAGGTGTGTTGTTTTATATATGGAGGACGTTAAAGAAGGGCCGACAGAAAAATCTGTGCGTAATTGTTGAAAGCGGAAAGAAAAAAAACGCGAAACGAGAGAAAAATGGGACACTGACCGTGACAAGCATCGCGTGTCTGCAACCGCAAAAGGCAATTCGTAGCGATAATAGCACGGTAGATATATACGTAATTCGATCCAACCTGTGTCATTTCACGGGAGTCACTTCGCTTTTCCTAAAAACCTGTTTTGCTTTACTTTTTCTTTCTCTCTTTCTCTCCCACAGGTATATCATTAACGTAGTTCAATCCCTCTGGTTTATACGTGTGTTCATCTGTTACAACGTTCTCGCCGTTTTTTTGCATTTGTAAAATTAATAACGAAAACAATAAGAACTTACTTACTTTCACGAAAATATTTCGATCTTTTTAACACCATCTTGCCGGTTCAGGGTTAACTATTCAAAGCTGATTGTTCTTGATCGGTAAAGAAGCTCGTGATCGCTTGTTGAATCATTGTTTATAATGGTCGAGGTCACTGTACCCTTATACCAATATACCAACAGAATTCCATTTGTAGAAAAATCTGATTTATCTTCGTATTCATGTTCAAATCATAGGTGCAGCCATAACGAACTGGTCTCATGCGTCCCGTTGGCGAGAACAGTTGCTCGCCGCCTAATCTCAGTTATGCGTGTTTAAATGCGAACGGGTAAGGAGCCAGGGATAACCGGGTGCGTAGTCGCAGTAAATTCGGCTCCCCGCTAGCGAAAAAGGAAGTATTCTCGTGCCGATGACTCCTCGAATCATAGACTCTGTCGTCAGAAATAAAGTTAGTGGGGAGCACGTGTGTCACTGTAAAAAGTTGGCTTCTCTGCGAGCGTCTCACACGACTCCAGGCACACAGGCTCGGCTCTACGTGCTTACAATGAGCATTCAAGTGGCGCGCTGTTGCCAGACTTCTATAGGCCCACACTCCACTAGTTGCTTTTAACTAATTGACGCGTCTTAAAATTAATGCTCGCTCCGTGTATACGCGAAACGCCTCCCGTTCTTTTTTTTTCTTTTTTTTCTTCGTCACACTTGGTTGATCACACGGGTTCGGTTTGCTCAAGAAGAATTATTTCTCACGATAGAGTGAAGCGATTTATGGATAAATGTGAACTTCGAATAAATAGAAAAATAAGGGAGCCGGTCGGTTGCTACTGTTCGTTCATAAAAGCATTAGCCGTCGTGTAAGAAGAGGGGCGGAATAGGTTAGGAATTACAAGAACGTTTCGCAACGGAAATATGGAACATTTAATCGCCGCGTTAGGATACAGAGATAAACGAGACGCGTGGTAGTTAATTGGTCGTATAGGTATATAACACAATTTGACGTATGTGCACACCTGTGACGCAATACGCTTTACAAGTCTCTTCCGGAAGACAAGGACAGTATTGTATATCCTGTGTTTAATTGAATTGCCCTCGTGATTAATTACCACGCTGACTGTTTTCGTTACGACCCGATTCAGTGATTGATCAATTTGACAAAATGAACGTCATAACCTCGTTCAAACAATCCACGACATTAAACAATTAACTTGAACTTAGAACTTTACGTAAAATACTTGGAAAATGTCTCCGTGCAGAGTGTACGCAGAAATTTCAATCGATACACGTGCCAGTTCTGGCAAGATGCATGAATTTAATTCCCAATATTACCCAATATGCCCGCAAACGAGAAAGTTCACCGCAGCGTGTGGGATGCATCTCTCGAGTATTGCAGCTACCGTCTGGGAAGCCCCC